AGAGGTCCAGGGCCTCTTCCCCATTCCCAAGTAGGAGTAGTCCCTTGATTACTGATTTTATATCTTGTACATAAGCGTCCTTACATGCTAATGTAGGGTTCTGCAGGTACAATAAAAATGATTGGACTAAGTAATTGCATAACTTTAAGACCATAATTTTGACATCAGAGAAAGAACTGGCAGTCAGCCTCCAGATTTGTGGGGATTAGTATTCTTTCTATTATACCGAATTTCCTTCTGGCTATTCTTCACAACTGCATGTGCAACAGAAAAGCATTTGTATCTGTGCTGTCTGGTCTGCTCTAAATTATGGTTAATAAGGTAAGGCTCATATATATGTCATAATCCCTCTCCAGGCCTCTGATACAATTGTTATATGACATGCGGTCATGTGTAATTGCCAGCAGAACAGAGGAGTTTCTTGATGGTAGACTTTGTTCTTTTTTTCTCTCTCAATTTCTCAGACAAGGTCTCAAGAGGTGGTCTCGAGTGATTCTTGAAGTACTGCCATTTGTGTTGTTTATGTTGCACTGGAGATAAACGTCTTTCGGGGACTTTGGAGAAGAGCACACTGTCAGGGTTCCAGTGAGTTTTGTAGTGCCAGTGACAGTCAGAGGCAGGCGGCAGGGGCAGAGGGTGTGGGAAGTGGGAGATGAAATGTCGACTGTGAATTTCGTGACTGTAGATATTTGGAGCTGTTTTGGCTTAATTTTTTTTCGTGTATTTTTGTGAGTAACTTATTAATTCATGAGTAACTTATTAATGTAAGGTTATTAATTCATGAGTAACTTATTAATGTAAGGTTATTCGAGAAGTATCTTTGCATAAATATTTTATGCTACTGAAGAAAAAACAATACATATTGGTGTCTTTGCATTTTTAAGTTATTCCTTCTTTTAGTCTATAGAAAAATAAGAAAGTTCTATTAATAGCCTTTAGAATTACTGAGAGTATTAATTAATCATTGTGTTGATGATGAGGTCTTTGTTCCAGAAGTTTGTTAACATCATTCAGATCTGGAAGAGGTCTTATAAATTATCTAGATAAACCCAAGTAGTTAGGTGAGGTAATTGAGACCTAGAGATGTTAAGTGACCTCTGGGCTCCTGAGTAATTAATGACAGAATCCATCTAGCAGTCTGGGCTCCTGGCCTTGCAGTCCAGTGCTCTTTTTTTAAAAGAATAAATGTGGAAGGAGAATCTGTGTCCAAAACTTGGTAGACATTCAGTGATTTATGCAGTTAGGGTGAGAATCATGGAATACTGGAAAGCTCAGGGACTTCAGATTCAGGCCAAAACTGAGGTTTGCTCCTTCTCAAATTTGACCTTGGCGGAAAACTTAACTTTTGGGTTTGATTATTTTCAAAATGCAAATGATAAGAACCTCTTTTGAGGGATATTGTGAAGATTTGTGATTACATTTGTAAAGGACCAAATATAGTGATGGCGTATAGCAGGTGCTTAGTAAATATAGCTACTATTAAAATTTATTATTTCTGCTGTTAAGAAACAAAAATAAATTCTGAAAACTGCTTTATCAGTAGGCACTCAGATAAACTGTGTTGAGCCAATGTTGAATGAATAAATGCTTTATCTCACCAGCTGCAAAACAGAACTTCTGTTTTATCTATTGGACAAGCCTTACCCTCACTTGTGAATTTGCATCCTATTTCATTTTTCTCAAACATGTGTTTTGGAAAAAGCTTAAACCTCTTTAGTTGTAAATACCATATTCAAAGTTAAATTAGCGTAACAGCTAGGACTAGAATTTGTACGTTTATTATTTATGAGAGACAGAACGGAATGGTGGAAAGAGCCTGGGTTTGGTGTCAGTAACTTAAGCTGAGTTTAAATATGAGTGAGATCTTCCAGTTACTGGCTGCATGATCGCCAGCAAGTCCCTTCATTTCTCAGCCTCACTTCCTTAGTCTGTAACGTAAGGGCAGTCTCCCTGCTTCTTAGCTTTGCAGTAAGGATGAAATGACATCTTACATAAAGCCTCTCCCTTTCCTCCAGAGCACTGTTAGTTAGAACACTTATTTTCCTTCCTCCTGCTGCACCAACCTAATGCTAATAAAAAGTGGGGGAAACTTAAAGGAGAAATTACTCTTCAAAAAGACAACTTAGAACCTTAAAAGATTCTTTTGAAGATATGAGGATGCATTTCTGCTATGAATATGCAGTATTCAAAAATAGTAAAGACCTTTTAGACGGAGGCAGTACTCAGGTGGTACTTAGCAAAGGTGAGAGATACTTTGCCTTTCTCATCTGGCAGATCAGAAGTATTGGTATGGTAATTTGCCATGATTTTTTCATTTGCATGTTTTTAATATTTGCAAATGTTTAATACTTACAGGCATGAATGTATCCTTAGGCCGAATGACATATGGCATAAATGGTAGGATAATGTAAAGAAGAATGAGTTTGCGGAAATGTATGCAGGATACAGAATTCCGTGGGAAGAAGAGAATAATCCCTTCATGTCAATGTTGATTGCTCTGTGTGCATTTCTCATCCCCAAAGTGTCTGTGATTCCTTTCCCTGGAACTGGGTGGTCAGCCAGAAATATGATTCAAAGCAAAGACTGTTCTCAAGTATGATTTTAGTTAACTGTAAGCTGTTGAAAACATCAACATACTCTTAGGTTGCAATACGATGTATGTAGTAGCCAAATCACAGAAAACTACATATGCTCCCCGTCCTCAGCACTGACCAAACCCACCAAGAAGACTGTACTAGTTCTGGGCAGCACTTGAGCAGTGGCATTGCCAGTGTGGCATGCCTCCAGAAGAGAGATGAGCAGGATAGGAAAAGGCTCTAGAAGCCATCTCATATGGGGAGGAGTCAAAGGCATTAGGAAGAATTTTCTTGAAAAAGATTGTAGGGGAAATATCAAGATGTATCATTAGCTTCTGGGCATCTGTATCCGTGAAGCATAAAGAAATATAAAGCCTATTGTATGGTACTTGTCCTTAAAGACATGGAGAGAAGTTAGGCACATACATGTAGACATAGAATAGCTATGAGCAAAAGTGAATAATAAATGCAATATGGAGATCTAAGTCCAGAATTCAGAGGAAGGAGAGATTACATCCACCAGAAGAAAACAGAAAAGATTTCACTGGGGATAGTGTTTGGACTGGGCACCAAAGGATGGGAAGAATTTGGATATTCAGAGATTTCTGAGAAAATATTCCAGGTGGAGGAGAAAACATAAAGTTATGAAAGCAATGTTTTGTTAAAGATGTCATTAAGATGTTAACGCAGACATTAATGTAAAACCTGAAACCCAGCAACTTTTCAAAAAGTAGATTTTTAAGGGCTTGTTCTATTATGCGTAATCATATGCTACAATATATCCTTATGTAAAAATCAGTCTAAAAATAAAAAAGTAATGAAATGATTAATTTATTCTATATTTTAAACCCCTAAACAAAAACAAGAAAAACCCATTTGACATCATCTAGGATCTGTTCAATAATCTCCACTAAAGTAATGCTAATGATGCCATGAAAGGATAATAAAAGTGTAATCTTGCCAAAGCTCAGGTAAGTATGATATGAGAGTATTGTTCTTAGTATTTAAAAGACTGTCATTCAGAAACAGAAGTGTACTTTTTGTTTTCTTTTGTTTTTGTTTTTGTTTTTTTTGCTGAGGAAGACCGGCTCTGAGCTGACATCTATTGCCAGTCCTCCTCCTTTTTCTCCCCAAAGCCCCAGTAGATAGTTGTATGTCATAGTTGCACATCCTTCTAGTTGCTGTATGTGGGACGCCGCCTCAGCATGGCCGGAGAAGCAGTGCATCGGTGCGCACCGGGGATGTGAACCCGGGCCGCCAGTAGCGGAGCGTGCGCACTTAACCGCTAAGCCACGGGGCCAGCCCCTAGAAGTGTACTTGTTTTGTATTTTCCCAGAAGGCAGAACTAGAATCAGTGAGTGGTAGAGAAGGTTTAAACTCAACCTGAGAATTTCGCACAACTTAAAATTTCCATAGACTAGATGACCCCATTAAAACAGATAGCTTTTCCTTCATGGAAAGTACTCACAGAGAACTGCTAACCCACTATCAGGATTGCTTAGAATGGATTTCTTTTTTTTTTTTTTTTTAAGATTTTATTTATTCATTTTTTCCCCCCAAAGCCCCAGCAGATAGCTGTATGTCGTAGGTTCACATCCTTCTAGTCGCTGTACGCGGGACTCGGCCTCGGGTTGGACGGAGATGTGGTGCCTCGGGGCGCGCCCGGGATCCGAACCCGGGCCGCCAGCATCAGAGCGCACGCACTTAACCGCCAAGCCACGGAGCCGGCCCTTAGAATGGATTTCTGAATCTGGTTAGAAGTGAGACTCTTAGGATCTCTGGAACCGTAGCGTTCCACGTGGCTATGAATCTAATCCACAGACACCACACAAAGCAGAGTGAAGCAGGCAGATTGGGTAGTGTATCCTTTGCAGAAGACAAGGGTAGAATGAGATACTAACATATTACTTTTGGCAGATTCAACTCAAACATTTCACTTTATTAAGTCAAAGAACACAATCTGTTTTAAACTATTTTGTATAACTATTATGAAGGCTACTGGAAAAAAGTGTGCTTTTTAAAAGAAATATAAATAAATTCTATTCAAATATTTGAGGACATTATTAAATATATCAAACTAACTTAGCTATGTCACTTTTATTAGTGTCGTCAGATATCACACAAGACTGGAACATTATGGCTGCAAGAGGAGCTTGCTCCAGTTTCTGACAGACATTTGGTTAACTATTTTGTGTAAATGTTTGCCGAATTATAACGCCATTTCATATTTAATATCCATATAGTGTGCAGTTACATATTCCACCGAGTGAAGTTGAAGGCCATAAGTAATATAAACATTCGTGACTGATTTAAGCTATATGCCTTGATGTCTTGGAACTTAAGTCAAAGAGCTGAATTTTCCTGATCAGCTAAAGCCACGTGTAGAAGCTTGTGAGCGTAACGTCCTTCTTTTTGTGTTCTCAGCTGCGGTCTTGAAGTATGAGAACAACGTCATGAATATCCGGCAGTTCAACTGTTCTCCACACCCGTACTGGCTTCCGAACTTCATGGACGTTTTCACGTGGTCCCTGCCCTTTGTCGGGGAGAAAGGTGTGCTGTCGAGCCCTGAGAGGTTCTTAATAAAATGCTGCAGGAGGGAGGAGCGGAGATGTGGGCTGTCGTACCATGAAACACTCAGGAAGAGAGCACTGTGGCCTCACCAGTGAAGCTCACAGGGTGCACCATGAGAGAAGTGTTTTGAAAGTGTGTCACTGTGTATCCTATTAAGGAAATACAGAGAGCGAATTAAGGGGAAACCAAAGAAATGAGGAATATTAGAAGAATTTATGTAATCTCCTTAGACTAATACAGCTCTTTTAAAAATAACAGATATATAGTTTTAACTAGCTTCAAACTATAATGGCTGCCTTTTTTCTTACCCCTTTGTATCGTAATTCAAAAGTGGTATTTTATTTTACAAACTACCTCTCAAATTCAAAGGTTGAGATAGCCGTGCTTTCTTCACATTTCTGATGTTAATAATAGTCATTGTGTGATAGTGACTAACGGCTACAGTATTTTGAAAGACAACACGCACAACAACAAAAACAGTTCATTACAAATATAGTGGCCATTAGTGTGTTCCAAAGTGAGACAAATTTACGTTTAAAACTTGCCTATTCACTTGCCCCAGTTTTCCAGAAGAACTGGCCTTTTCTTTCCTTCCTTCCCTCTTCGTTTTGTTTTTATATTTTGACCTAAACTTCGGCAAAAATTTCACGGACATGTCTGCACCCACTGAGCTTGAGGTTTTGGGTGAGGAGGCCTCGTGGTGGTAGACGGGATCACTGCTCGTGCACCGTCTCACGCGCCGCAGGAGGAGGGGGATGGGCACCGTAGTAAGATACGAGTTTGCACATGTTTCAGAAAAATTATGTCCTGGGGGAGTGGTTAGAGAAAAGCTACACATTTTTCTGAAATATTTTTATATTAATAAATATGTAATATATTAATATTAATAGATGTAATATTTATCTTCCTACAATATTTCTTTTTTTTTTCTTTAAATGCCCTCAAATGATTAAACCAAGCAGTTATGAATTGTCAATGAAGAAGTCTTCCCTGTGGATTCCAAAATAAGCCACAAGTAGATTTTCGCAGTCCGGATAACTGTTCCCCCTCCTTGCACTGTCAGATCCTGACACGTGCTAGTCTCGCCTCTGGGCCTCTCTGGAGACAGAAGTGCTGCAGACCCTGACCGCTACTGGCCACTCTCTGAACACCCTTCCGTTGAGTCGTTTCCAGTAACTATTCCGCTTTGAGCATATATTCTAGAAGAACGTATTAACATACTGGTATACATACATAATTCACTTTTGAAAAGTAAACTGAGGCTCTGGAGTAACGTTAGCTCCACTGGAGTTTTACTTTCTATCGTATGTCTTCAATTCTAGAACCTTGATTTTAAAAAGGAGCTTTTGAAGAAATAGTGGACAGGCTCCTTTTCACATTCACGATAGAACCCTACCTAATTTTAAAAAATGTTAAATGAAAATGGCATGCACCTTAGTGTAAAAGTGGTGCAGTACTAATTTTCTGTGTACAACACTTTTATATAATCCTATTGTAATCTATTTACTCAAATAAATTTCTTATTAAACTTATCTATGCTTTATTTTTAAAACCTTTTTGAAAATAAAATTTAATGATATATATATCAACACATTGATTTTTTAAATCTCTATTCTCAAAACTACTTCAAATATATTAGTTCATCAATCAACAATTTTTATTAAGCACAAAACCACATGCCTATCATTGTGCTGGGTTCTCTGGGGGGTTAAAAAAATTAAAAAAGAGATCCAGCATTCGCTTAGTCCCTGTGAACAGAAGTTTGTAATCTGGTCTAGATCTAGCAGCATCATTATACAAATAAATAAAAATTCAAAAGTAACTATTTTCTCCTTCTTAGAGTTATACTTCATTCACATTCACATATTTGATTTTTCCATTGTCTATTGACCTACAGCTAGTAAATGTTACCATTAGATTTCATAGGTATGAGCTAATAATCTTTTTTTTTTTTTCTTTTTTTTTTGTGAGGAGATCAGCCCTGTGCTAACATCTGCCAATCCTCCTCTTTTTTTGCTGAGGAAGACTGGCCCTGGGCTAACATCCGTGCCCATCTTCCTCCACTTTATATGGGATGCCGCCACAGCATGGCTTGGCAAGCAGTGCATCAGTGCGCGCCCGGGATCCGAACCAGCGAACCCCGGGCCGCCGCAGCAGAGCGCGTGCACTTAACCACTTGCGCCACCGGGCCAGCCCCTGAGCTAATAATCTTATAGACATAAAGTGTGCATAGAATCACAAAGCCTGAAAGACAGGTTTTCTATAATCTGGATTTAATAGGAGCTGCTTCGCAGGAGAGTCTGTATACACTGTAGATAAGAAATGTATTTGCTGAACTTGCTCGTTCACAGTGCCAGAGTAATAATTAAGGTTGTAATAGAAGATCTGAACGTTGTTTTCTTTCTTTCCTTCTTCTCTTTAGTGACTGAGATGCTGGTAAACGTCCTCAACATCTGCTCTGATGATGAACTAGGGTCGGAAGAAGACGGGTTTGATGGTAAGAGGCTTAGCCTTTGTGCTTGTTGCTATTTGCCAGCATCTCATAGGTGACCCTAAGAATAAATTTCTAAGATTTGGATTACGTTTAAATCATAACATACTATTTAGAATGAAAGATATTATTATATTTTCTATTTGCTTTGAAGAAATATAAGAATCAAAAACCATGAGAGAGTTTTTCCATTACCTTGAAAACATTGTTGAAGTAGTGAACTATGTTAATAACCATCTTTCAATAGCTCATGTTGCTAAGTGACTTTTTTGGCTCCTTGATTAAAAAAAAAATATGTCATCCTTTCTTTTTTATCAGATGTTACCGTTTACTGAGTAACTTTTAAATGTGCCCTTTAGTGAGGTTATTCCTGTCAATTATTCAAATTTTGATGTCTGTGATAAAAAAAAGATATTTACACATTGATATTACACGTTGATATGTTGGTGTTTCTATCAATCCCATATTTTTTCATATTTGTGATAATAAGTAATGAATATGCTATGAGTTTTTATTATTGTTGTTTTTTAAGATATTATGTGGTATTCGTTACCCTGGAAGAGTACACTTTCTCTATAAGAGACAAATATCCATGAGATTAAAGATGGAGAGAAAAAATTACTCTGTGTCTTACAAAAGCACCCCAAAATGATTGGAAGCTAACAAAACCGTAGAGGAGGAAAGTGCCTGAGCAAACTTCACTCCCATAAATACCTAGTAAGTCGTACCCTGTGTAGGGCACTTAGGATTCTTAGGTGCATTACAGACCTGCGACTTGATGAAGCTGCAGTCTGGTTAGAGAGACTGATGTGTAAACAGATAGTATCAATAAAAGAAGACAAATTATAAAATAAAGGGTGAAGGTGGCAGGGGAAACTAGATATTGTGGCAAATTTAAATTGATAACATTTTTACCTTTAAAAATTGCACTTACGTAAAATGAAAAGAGAATGTGGCCCTTTCTGAAAGTTAGTATCCGAGCAGCATGATTTAGTGTTTACTTGGGTTTAATACAGGTCACATTTATAAATGCAAAATACCCAATACTGCAAGCAAAAGGAAAATAAAAGTGTCCGTACACTCATATAAATAGTCTATATACTTAGGTAAATTTAAAGTGTATAATTACTCCTACCGTCTCGTAGTTTTTCTCCTTTCTGTAACTTCTCTTGTTTTCATTACTTGTCTCCATATACTATTCTTTAGTAATATATCACATGGCAAGGGGATGTTCAATCTAGGGAGAGAGAAAAAAAAAAAAAAATATATATATATATATATATAAAAACTTTTACTAGGTTAGAATTACATCAAGAATAGTTGTAAGAACTTACTTAAGTAAATATATTGAAATATTGTGAAATATTCAGGAGATCAGTAGATATTTTGTGCTTTATCCACATTCTGGATGTTTCATATGTTATAGCCACAGTTTGCTACTCTTAACTTTTCTGAGGATAGTGATATCATTTAAGAGATAGTAGTATTTCCCTTGGCAGAGACTTTTTTCTAAAAGAAGAATACTAATCTGGTGGAATCTAAATTTTAAAAGTCAACAAACGTTTTTAATAGATGTCTTTCACTATGTTCCTTTTGTTCCTTAAAAGAAGGATTAATTAGCATTAATATAGTGATACTCCTGTGTTAACAAATGTCTGTCATAGTCAAGTTCATTGGCCAATAATTATAATTTAGACAATATAATAAAAATATAACATGTTGTATAGAATAAGAAGACCTTCCTAGGTTTGTAATTATACATTAATCCATTCGCTCAACAAGCATATATTGAGCACCTACTGTGTACCAGGTACTACAGCGAAAAATGCCTGCACATTTCAACAGTACAGGTATTTCCTGCACAGTTAAACATTACCAAGACTAACTCAGTGTTTACTTCACGTAGAGTGAGTTCTCTTTACTCACTCTCTCAGTCACTTATGTGAAAGGATGTATTTTGTGACTTACTCTGCTTTAAAATAATTAGTTCCAATCAATGTGCTCTGCTCAGCAGCAATTGCTTTTAGGCCTGTTAATTCCACTTATAGGAGTGCATGTCCTTTTCAAGGCATTTGGAAGAATTTTTCCTTTCTAGGTAGACCTCTGAAATCTCACTCTATGATGCTTAAATCATAGGTCAGACCTGCAGAGAAACAGCTAAGACCTCTAAACGTGATCTTTTAGCTCAGATCTCATAAATACGCCCTCTAAGGAAAAAAAAGAAAGCAGAAATAAAAGTACTAATTAAAAGTATGTTTAACTTAGGATATTATACATTTCAGAGTAAACAATCAGAAATTTTGTTTAGTGCTTTATTTAACACGATGCAAAAACTATGGAGTTCTTCAAAGGTGCTCAAAGAGCAACTTGTAAAACTTTCCAGAACTCTGACTCTCTTTGGACTACAGTTTTTTGAGAACATAGTTTCTTTCTTTTTTGGTAATATGATTTTCACCCTAAGGATCAAGTTTCCAGTTCTCCCACCCTGTCCCTTGTGCATGCAGCCTGCAGGTCTGCCTCTCTTTGGGGGCTGGCCCTCAGCTCTGCCTACCAGGCTCCTGGGCCTGTTGGCTACAGAGGTGAAAGAAAGCAGGAATCAGGAGACCTTGGAGGACTTAACTAAAGCTCGGCCTCAAATTGCTGCTTGTTCTAAGGGAGAGGGCGTCTCTTCATGAATCATTTATCAAACCCTTCTCAATATTTTGCTCCATATCCAATGTCAACTGAAAAGTCAAAGATGGTAATGGGGCCTTTATAATCCATAACTGTCTTCTTGTCTGATCAGGCTGACTTCTTAGTCTGCATAAAATCTGTAGTAAATAGAGAGTCTTCTCCTTTCCTTGAGGGATGGAAGGTGTGGGATTAATTTTGCTTCTTTTGCTTCAGATTCTGTCAGCTCCCCTTCACCTTGAGAGATGATGATGATGACGGCAGCTGACACTTACGTGTTAGGCATCATTCTAATCTTACCTTTTTAACCAACAAAAATTTATAATTATTAACTGTCATTCATTTTAAGTATATATATGTAAATTTTCTAGATGATTTATATTATTTCTGATCCTCAAAACAACTGTTGATCAGCAGCTGTGATTATCCCTATTTGACGTGGGAAGCGATTGAGATTGGTGAGGTGAAGTTAAAGCCTCCAGCCACACAGCTAGGAAAGTGATAGACCTGGGTTCAGATGGATGCCTGGCTGCCTATCAGACTCATGAACTTTCCACAACCAGTGATTGCAATGCTTGAAATCTTCTTCTTTGAAACAGCATGATGCTTTTTTTTTTTTAACAAAACAACACTAATAACTAAACATCATATACTTTAGTTTGTTCTATTAAATATACTGTAAAATAAAGAAATAGGGCCCATGAAAGTCAAATAAATGCAAATAAAATAGTTTAATTCTATTTCTTTAGCCTTGGTTTACTCCAAGAAGTTATGAGTGTTGCATCATGTTAAAAATGTAGGTGTTTCTGAGCAGCCAGAATGTCCCCTGGCTCACCTAGTTTTCTGCGGGGTGGAAATCACTTCATGAATCTCCCCTCCTTAGCTTCTGCCTTACAAATAAGGGAATCTGATAGTCCATCTAGAAAAAAAGTTGCTGTTCTAAATTGGTTTGTGGTTCTTTTATGTGGAAAGTAAAATACAAAACTTCTGTTATCTTGTAAAAGTTTTGAAGCAGTTTGATGCTGGTGAATGTCTTTTGAGGACCTAATTTATATGTATTGGGGTCTTTGTGTCCTGTTTCCACTGCTGCTTTTGGATGATAAAATGGTAGTCTGGTTTCAATTTGGGGTTGTTATTCGCCAGAACATTTTAGAGAAGGAAGAAATCCGAGTAGATGTATCTCATTTGATAGTTAATTCTCATTAATGAAGAAGACTCATTTCAGACCAAGGATTAGTAAGTGATCCCCAAGTGGGGGGAAAAGCTGATAGAAATCAAGCAATCTGCATCACAAAGGTTTCTTTATTGTTAATTATTATAATAAGGAAGTCTGCAATAGTGGTAAGCATTAGAAACCTAATGACAGTTTCATGACTTAGAAATATTTATTTGAAACTTTCTTTTAGGTCCTAAATCTTAGACTCTGAGTTCATATATATATCTGAACACATATATATATATATATATATATATATATACAGATTTTGTTTGAGACTATAATATGTGATAAATCTGGCTAAAATGAAAGAATTGTGGAGGTGAAACTGAAATCCTATAGAATAAGAAGGGAAAGAAAAAATAATAAAACTAATAATAAAACTACATTTCAAGCTAAATATAGTTTCAGGCTGCACTGGAAAGACTTAATATTAAACTAGAATTTATGTCTCTGCTGTCATCTGAAGAGCAACCCACATGGTGGAACTCATATCCTTTCTCCACGTTTGTGCCTTATCCTAATTTAACCACAGGCAAGTCACTGAATATGGAATCAGAGCAGTTTTTTGCATGCCTCTACAAAACCATCTAAATTGTATACAAGAAAATTATCTACCATCATCTGCTTTGAATTATTAGATAATTCTTGATATCTGATATCATAGGTTCCAGAGTGTCTCCCCGCTTCTTTCTGTCTAGCTTTAAAAAGTCATACCCAACTTTTAAAAGTGCAAAGTTGGGAATTAGTGGGACTAACCTGGCATCTTATTTGTTCTTGGGGAATACCTCTATAATTGGTCTTATTATTTTCTATCAAAACTGTATTTATTTGTTATGATGGATGTTTGAGATGAATTTCATCTTAACCCCCCCACCCCCCGCGCTTTGTGCATCTGGCAGCACGTGTACTAAGAGCCATTAACTTAGACCTCTTCTTGGGTGTGTAATTATTGTCATTCTGAGTAACTCATTTTAGCATCCAATATTTCAGGTACGCAATCAGAAAACAAAGTTGTATGTTCTATAATAATTGACAATATGGGGGGGAATATTACATTTCAATTTAAAAAATAGAAAGAAATGTTTAGACATAGAAAACAGAGCTCTGAGGAGCACAG